TGAGGGAGAACAACAGGAAAACTTGGACAGAGACTGGGCCCTTTGGGTGTGCTCATACTGCAAGTGTAACATGAGTTGCACCAGATCTCAGCTCTCAAAACAGTCTGATGCATGCATGCACACTGCTGTGTTCCTTTTGGTTTTGCATCCCCTGCATAACGTGTGTTTATTCTTCTCTAGCCAGCCACATCAGCAGTACAATAACTTGCCTGCTCAGAAGGAAAGAGAGGCAGAAGCTTCAGAAAGAGTACAGAAAGCACCTCAGCGAACCTACGTGCAAACCCACCCAACAGTAAGTTCTAGTGTGGGCTCATACTCAGCTCACACTACGCTCCTCTCATCCTTCCCAAGGCATCCAGGCAAAGTGCAAATAAAATCATATTTGAAATGTTATGCGAGTGGTAACAACTTGGATATAAGGGAGCTCAGGCCATGCCAACGCCACAGATACGTCAGAAGGTAATAGTCCAAGCTACAAAGTAGAGAGTTCAGGATGAGAACTACTTAATTAAAAGGTGGAAGACCAAATCTTGATCCCATTAAACACAGCTAAGTGGCTACACAGGTAATGAAACTGGCACTAATGAAGATTAGATCATGAGAAGAAAAGATTTTTCCCTAGACCAAAAATGAAGTTGCAATGCAAAATGGATTTGAGAACATTCCTCTTTCTTACTTCAAACTAACAGATGGAATAATCACTTTAGGAGATTAGCAAACTACTCTTCTCCAACCAGCATTTAACGTGTTATTCTGCTGCTATTACCTTGCTTGGTCCAGTATGATGACCTCTACAATACATGCTTAGGACATAAACAAAAGTGAAAGAGATTGAATCAAATGCCCTAAATTCAAAGCAAAAAATCATCTTGGAGGACAGGAAAAAACCACTGTTTCTACCTTTAAATCTACTAATATAACTGCAGAACTTACTAGATATTAAGACAACTATCCAAACTCTGCTGGAATTGTTAATTTTTATTAACTGCCTATTCTATAGAAAAAACAATTGAATCATTTATTTGAAAAATACTGAAAAAATGTTTTCTGAGTGATAACAGAGAAAGCAAACAATACAGGAAGAAAGAGTCACTTATACCTTAGGGGAAAATTACAGAGGTCAATCTACAGCTTGTATGGGATACAGGGATGGCAAGGATTCCTTATGTATTTGACCCATGGAGAAATTAAAATTCACTAACGTATCTTTTTATGTCAGAGAAGTCTTATAAATCTCTTGTGTCCTCATTCTGGCACCTGCCATAGTCTCTGTGAACACACTTGGAAACTGAAACATGTTGCTTCTGGGATGAAAGGTTTTCTCTAGTGTCACAGCCTGTTGACAGAAAGCACTAACTGCCACGGTAAATTAAGCAGAGAAAGATGGCTTGCATTTCTAAATGAGAAAACAGCAAAGCTCAGAGCTACCAAAATTAACAGCAGAAAAAGTGTCCGTTACTTCTGAAAAAAAAGCCAAACATTGAACAAGACGAAGGTTCCTCTAAGGGCACAGCAACACCTTTTTAGGGACAAATATGCTACTTGATTCATGCAAAGGAACAACTGAGGAAGCTCAGGTACAGAAGCTGTCTGGGTAAAACACACACAGAGGGATGTGTGCGTATGCAGGCATGCATTTGTGCATGGGCTAGTAAGGAAAAAGTCCACAGTTATACAAGAACAGACCTGTCAGGACAGAAATTTTTTCTCCTCCGTGTTTGAGAGAAGAAGGAATCAGTAACAAGAAGCCTCAAGTCAAAATTACTGAAGGGAATTTGACCCCACCTTGAGTTAAGAAACAAATCTTACTCTACGGTGTTGCATTTCAATTGCACCCACATTCTGAGACACAGTTGTATGAGAACGAGAGGTATCTTAACAATCAGCATGTTTGAAGACTTCTGAAAATAAACTGGTCCTACTGAATTCTCAGAAGAATAGTTCCAGCTGGCAAGTGTCCACATACATAAAGGTATTTGTGCTACTGGAGAGGGAAAGGGGTTAGTGTAGACCATCAAAGACTCCAGTGCTGTGGGGCTGAGGGACACACATGCTCCAACAAGCTTTTTCTTCCCTCACAGAATTATAGAAAAGGCTAAGAGTCCATTAAGCCCCATGTGTAAATAGTAATATACCACCACCTGTCACACCCCTGTAGGCACCATCAGGTCCTAACTGACCTGACCAGCTTCAGGTGCTGTCTCCACCAGGGCCCTTTTGGGCCAGGAGCCCCAGTTAAGCTAAGGCTTGTGTCTCCAGTCCTGGCTTGAGCTTAAACACCATGCCTGCATCCAGACCCATGCTCATCTCCAGGATGGACCTTAGACCGTTGATATACGTAGCCTCTGCTCAGCCCTGTCTCCAGCTCATTTCCTTTGGATCCTGACTGGAGCCCCTAGAGAGAATCAGGCCCTTGCTGATCATTTGCCTTCTGTGGGACTGCTGATGGGTCCCTACTGCCAGCCCCCAGGTCTGCCCCTGTCCTGAGGCCCCATGGCACAGGGTATCCCAATGGTGTGGGCATTGCCTGTGCTGGTGGCACCCTCTGGTCCTTTCTTGTCCTCTCTCATGGAGCAGCCCTGCTCGTGCTGCTCCTGGATACTTATCTCTCAACATCATCAGACAAATGTATTTCCAAAGAGGAACTGACAATTTTTAATAAAGCATTTCTTACTATTTTAAGACCTTCTAGTCTGATCCAAATTCACCTCTTAATAAAGAGCACTGTACCAAAACCTAAACTTCTAAGTTTTCTCTGGTCTTTACACAAAGAAAACAGCTCAGATCAAATGTGGTGTTGGTACCAAAAACTGCCATAGCCAGACTACTAAGGCAAAGCTGATAAAATGAACACAGTCAAGTCACAGTGAGTAACATGTACTGTGTCCTGATCTTCACTGATTATGGTTTTATATTTTCAGAGTGCTGAGCAGTGTTGCCTTTTCTAAAGCTATGCTTTAGTTTTCAAAACCCAGAGTAGTAAACAAAAAAGTCAGCTGCAATACACAGTTGGGAAGACAAAGGGGAACAGAAGGACATGAAAACACAATAACCTGTATTTCGAGAGATACAGGAGTCCCTGAGAATGCAATATAGCATAGAATGGGACATTAGATAATTTAGATGTCTTATACAACTGACTTGTTTGCTTGAGGTTTTCAGAATACTCTGGTCTTATCAGGTCTTATTTGTCTCTATTCTCCATGAAATAAATATATTTTTGTGGTTCCTACTATTTTAAAATTAACCTATTGTATAACATACATATTCTATTGACCTGAGAAATGCAATAACTACTAAGCAAAGTAATTAGTATTTGTAAACTATCAGGTTCTAAATAAAAGGTTTTCTAAAGGTGACATCTTCAGAAGATGTTAATTGTCTGAAGTTGGATCAACTCAGGAAATACATTTTTAAAAAAACCAGTATGAAAAGACATATGTTCAAAATACATTAAATTTCTCTCATCAGACACCTAATGCCAAGTGTACATACCCTGCAGTTCCCTTATTGTGTTAACCTCTATAATTAGGCTACCAAAAGCCTGGTATTAGAAAGAACAATAGATTTTGACATCTTAAATGCATTACTACAAATCAAAAGACACGTAAACAAGACCGTGGCTCAATTAATTTACATCCTTGACAACATTTAGAACTAGAAAGGTATTACAAGATTAGAATGTAATAATTACTAAAGGAAAAGAAAAATTTATTTCATCTGAAACTAGAACCAAACGTAAAAGAATGCTTTGCTTATTTTTAAGCACAGGAAGGATTTTGATCACATGGGCACAAATAAGATGTTGACAGGAAAGACAATAAGGGGAAAAAATTCAACCACTGAAAGTAACTGCACCAGAAGAGCTCATATCCTGACTTCAAGAAATAATCAGTGCATGAAACTGCATTTAAAAAGGTATTCTAAGTCAGCAATATGAGAAAATGTTATCCCATATGTTTACTGTAAGTCAGAGGAAGAGAAAAAGTAACCACACTAAGCCTTGAATTAGTATTCTGACCTAAATAGCACACTACTTTTTAGAGTAAATTAGAGGCATGATTACTTAAGACAAGGAAATAAGACAGATGGAGGATAGTAGCAAAACTTTTTTATGAGATGTTTATGAAAGTGCTAGACTAAACTCAAAACAGAGAGAACTAAGATCTACCACTTTTCTTTTTCTCCAGGCAGTAAGTTTACACCTATCTGGGATGCCCAGAGCAATGCATTTTATATTTTACCACCTGGGAAATCACTACACAGGTCAGAGAAGATGGGAAAGTCAGAAGAGGATCTGTGTGGGTTTGTTTTGTTTCAATTTTTTTAAGAAACTGACCAAAGGGAGGTGACCAAGTGGAGTTGAGAAAAGGAAAGATCAAGGAAAGGAAGATTAAACTACAATTCCTCAAAGCAGAAATACGGAACAGAAAAATACTGGTAGTCTTACAGAGAGATAGGCATCCAGAGTTGCTTGGTAGGCAGAGGGTAGCTTATTTAAACAAAGAAAAGACTTAAATGTAAGCATAATAACTCTTTACAAACAGATTTGAGGGGCAAGAAGCAAATAACTATACCTAATTTAGCCCCTGATACATCTGGGCTGACAATCAGGAGCTTACAGGTATTAATGAGTTCCTAATGATATTGCTGAACTGCCTTCTGAAAAATCTAAAGAGCTCAAAAAAAAAAAAAAAAAAAACAAACACCTCTAAATGGTTTTTTCTCCTCCAATTTTCTTATGATTTTTTGGGGGGAGAAAGAGTGAGATGAACTTACAAAGAGGCTCGCATGACTGTACGAAGCTCGGGAGCAGGGCTTGTACCCAAATAAGCTGAGATTTATTTTCCAGAAAAGTGCCTTTAAAATCTTTTACTATTTAAAAGTGGTCACCCTGCCTCCCTCTGTGTAATTTAGGAGTAATATACCAGGCCTGCAGAAAGAGATAAATGGAATTTCTCGGCAGCACTGAATGTTTTATAAGTTTGGAAGATTCTTACCCTGTATTGATGGAAATTATTTCTATCAGTGGATTCTTCCTAATCTTTGGCAAATCCAGTCGTGCTCCCCCCAAACGTTTTCCATTATCCTTTTTCTGACCCAGCAGTCTCACAGAATGACCTTCAAACGAAGCACAAAAAATGCAGTCAATACAAAGCACAAGTCCCATCATATTTGTTTTGATTTGCTGTTCTTCAAAAGTAGTGTTTATACTTCAAAGATTGAAAATGAGAATGAGATGCAATAATGTAATTCCACCAGCTGGAGCATTTCAAAAGAGACACTGACAGGTAAAATAAATCATGTTAAAATGAACAAGTTATTTCACCCAATTATCTTTTCACACTTGCATTTTCTGTTTTATTCAATTAAAATGATCTAAGCAGCTTCATTTTCAGATTCTCAAGCAAATATCAACATAGCAATATTTAAACAAGTCATATGGCAGGACTAAAATATTTTCCCCCAAAATTTCATTCAAACCTAAATTAATAAGTAACAAATAAATATTTAGCTTATTGTATGGAGAACCAACACATTTCAGTCGAAGTTAAATGACTGTACTGAGGGAAAGCGCTGTGAAGTGTATCCCGATAATTTGTTCATAGATAAGCTGCTACCAAGATTTATGCTTATTTCTCACACCGAGGAGACTGCAGGTGAGAAAACTGCCTCACAGCTCCTTTTCTGAAGCCAATAATATTCAGAGAGTAAAACATAAATACTATCACCAACTGCCTACAACAGTACATCAGTCATAGCACATCAAGTCCTATATTTAAAGAGTACAAATGACAGGTTTCGCTAATATTCAGAAGCAAGATTTAAGAATGAAGAATAAAAAAACTTACATGCATGTTATTGTAATAGGTAGTATAAAATGTACCCAAGTTACAAACACAAGACTTGTATCATTCATTCCACAAAGCCTGGAATAGGCAGATAAGAGACAGCAAGGGAAAGCTAATGCTAGATACCTGAAAAGAGGTAGAAAGTAACCACTACTTGGAGGAATGTGAGAAAGTATGTATTTGTTGAAGTTGGAAAACTCTTTGACAGTACATGAAACTACAGCTACAATCTGTCAAATATTTCAGGAAAGAAAAAAACCCCTCACCCTGGAAGGAGAGGGAGGTAAAAGGAAAGCATGAAACTATGAAGTACTAGTTGAGCTATATCCAGCACAGCAAAGCAGATAACCAAATCCAGATCAATCAAAAACCATGTTCAACCAGATCTCCTCACTTACACTACCAACAGCTATTTACAAAACTAATTCATCCATCAAAGTCTTTCTCCACTACCTGTTTTGAGAAGTCATTAATAAACTTTTTAATAATGTGGCATTCTGTCATGATCTAGCCTCAACTGGCAATAAAAAAAACCATGCGGGCTTGGAAAAATTAACCCTAACCCAGTTGAAAGCAGGACACATTCATACTCTGAATTAATTTCTGTGATACGGCAACAACAGCCCAGAAATAAACAGCTACTTCTGGTAAACCATCTTTCTCAGGCTTTTTAAAATACATAAAAATTCTCAAACAAAAATGTGATCTAATGAAGAAGCGAGCAGGGCTGATACCATAATGGTTAATACTAAAAGGAGGCATTACAACATCAACAGGAATTAAAAGGCATTATTTTTGCAGTTGCATTTGACAAAAATTTCATTACAGCCTGCTGTGAATTTAGTAATATGGTAATGTGCTATTAACATTTGCCAAATTATTCACTTCTACCTTTTCATGACAGTAACAGCAATATCTTTGTCTCACATTACAATCAGTTATTTTTTAATCTAATGCTTCATTAAGGAGTTGCAAGTATGGCACCATTTTATTTACTTGTACAACAGAAGTGATTGCATTACGGTAGGCATAAGAAATAAACGAGAAGCAGAGAACATTCCTTTTTCTGTTTCCTAATACTGTGGTTTATTTGGAATAAACCGGTTTTATTCATTTTTAAAATATTCAATTGCATTGCCATAGTAAAACTGTACTTGGTTTTATGGCTGAAAACATAGTGGAGCAATTCACAGTATTCTTAAAACAATCAGGATTAACAACATAACAACAAGCTACCCAAAATCTAAACTTCATACATTTGGAACTGGGGTGAAGCCACCATTCTGAAGTTCAAAAAATAAAAACCAAACCAACAAACCACAAAAAAAAAAAAGAAAAAAACCTTGCCCCATCCCCATGTAGTATCTCAGAGGGTAGAATCAGTGGAGCTTGATCTCCTCAATGTTGCACCCTCACAACAAACAGCCATGTGAATTACTACTCTCTAATAAGAATTTAGCTCATGCCCTCCCCCTTTCTCACACTGGGAGCACGGATCAAAGAGACAAACTTTTTCATGGAACTTTGGGAAAAAGAGTATCCTTTAGACTACAAAACTTTGTTTGAAATGTGTCAGAGGAGTACAAACTAAGTAAGAGGGAGGGAAATGGAAACAATGACAGACCTGTACAGGAGGCAAAACTTTACAATCCATGTTTTCTTAGGAAAACAGGAAAAATAATAAACACTCTGGTAGTCTAGGAAATCTTGTTTACTAAAAGTACCACTTCTACCTTCTCACCGATCTTTGTCTTTCAGATGCTAGGCAGGTTACCATATACATGAGAAAAAAAAAACAAAACAACAACTTAGGACACTTTCACACAGACTATAACTCATAGTGAGCATAAGACCAAGCCTCTCATACCTTCGGAGACTCCTTTAATTCAGGAAAGAAACCCCTGACACCTCACACATGATACACTGAACATTAACACCCAAGCTCAGGAAATCTATGTCCTGGCAATCAGATATGGCAGCTTATTTACATATGAAGCATGGCCACAGTTTTTTTCCCATATTCCTACTGAATGACACTAAAGCTCAAGTTAACATGAGGCTCGCAAAACCTGTGTGGTGCTCAAGAACAATAACATCCCGGTACTTTTCACTCCAGACACCAGAGGACTAAAAAAAAGCAGTACTGGGAGATGAGTTTTAGCAGGGAGTTCAATGGTTCCAGAAGGCAAAGAGCACATGCGTGTCCAACTACAGCAATTTGTGCTGCAGGCACACAAACCTCAGTTACAGTACTCGTGACCTTAAATCCTTTTTCCCCTACTCCATACAAGGACTATTTTTGTTTCATTTTAAGTAATCACTAAAGCATCTGTTTACAGCATTGTTGCTATTAATAAAACATAACTTGATAAACATTGAATCATACTTTTTCACATGCTGTAGATCCTTTTTCCCCATCCTTATTTCAAGAAAACTTAATAAATATTTTGTCATGTTCAGTAAGACTAAGCAACATTTTTTTTAAACTGTCTAACCAGCATTATTAAGCCCACAACAACATCAAGCATAACAGAAAAAGCAGTAATTTTAAATCTCATTTATGACCTCCTTTCAAAGCTTAGAATTAGAATGGGGCAAAACACTGCGATCAAGTTTTACTTCTAAAGCATTTTATCTGATTAAGTTACATTCTCTCTGATTTCACAGGTTCGATAACAACTTAAATAAGCAAAACAAGCAGGTGTCCCAAACTTAAAAGAAGTCTTTTTTGTTTGTTTGCTTTTTTTCTTTTTTTAAAGTTTGGTACAACATTTTTGAAAATGGAGTTAATCACACCTCTACTTCCATAACCGTGAGCACTCCATCTCAGATATCAAACAAAACCCGCTCTTTTTTGATGGCTCACTGGAAAATGCAAGCTCTGAAATACAGCTTAATGACAAACAGATCTAGGCAGGTTATATTTGATAGCCTAAACATTCTAGTCCTATAAACCTCTTCTCCCACAAAGATAACTTTTCTACTTCCACATAGTCTACCAGCAGATAAAATTCTACTAAAAAAAAAAAAAATGAAAAGGTTAATTAGTGGTTTAGGTCATGCTTCAGAACAGTTCTCCACTAATTAATAGATAATTAATGCAGATTACAACACAACAGTAGCACTAACCAAGACCAGTGAGGAAGCTTACGCAGCAGAATCGCTCATAGCAAGTGTAAATGAAATCAAGCTAGAAACAGCTTAAAATGAATCATAGCTCTCTAGGTTTTGGAACTGTTTAAAATTAAACTCATCTTTACATACAAGTCAGTAGAGGCAATTCACATTACTTGGCATTGTTAGCAGAGAGGATGAAGTTGGAATGAATTAATCAGAATATTAAATCCTGTTGTTAGTCTAAAAAAGGGGTTTTAAATATGTCTGATAGACCAGTGTGCAGAACGAAATAATTTTCAGGGCGTTTATTTTCACTTGTTAAAAAGGATACACAAAAAGTAACATAATATTAATGTCATGTACATATACCTCCAATCGTAGATGTATGTGCTTCAGGACTGTGATAAGGAATGCTTGATCTTGAAATACAAATATTTGAAGAGAACATGTAATTGAATTTCTTTGCCCTAAGTTTACAACACCATTAAATGTACTGTGAACCTCAGGTTATTGTCAGACCCCTGTGACCTGGACCCACAGAAGCATGTTAATGTTATTAGAGCAAAGAGATTCAATTTGAACTGGTATTTTACTAGCTTGATACAAGGATAAGTGAGGAGGAAGTGGCCTGGTTAGTCATCTTTAGTTAGCTTTAACAACTGCCTGTCAGTGTTGCAAACACCAGTCAGATATTAATAGACCTAAAGTATTTCAAAAAACAGTGAGCTTCACTCAGTCCATAGGCTGGCACCCCTCAGTGGCTTCTGGGAAATAATATCTGCTTGAAAGATGGAAGAGGACATCCACTGAGGGTCCCTCCCCATCCCTACACACCCCAATGGTGCTACACAGTGTGCCACTGAGACACGACTCCCAGCCAGACACGGAGCAGGATTTCTTAGCTGCTCGCTTCAAAGTTCAGCGCAGACACCTCAAGCAGCTTGAAAACATGAGCTTAAAGAAAATCCTCAAAGATGCAGGAAACTCCAGCCTTGGCAGCAACAATTTCTATTGTTTTCAGCTTGTTCTATTACCCCTTCTTTCCCTTTCCCAGTTACATCATTATACTTAGAGGTTATTCACCATTTCCTGAAAGATTTCTTTCCACACAACAAGGCTGTCAATGTACCATTCTGTACTTCCCAGTTGTCT